TGATTTTCTCTTTCTTTATATTCCCTTAGGGTGGAGAGTATGATTTGAATGATCTTTCTATTCAAGAATCATTATAGAATGATATTTGTTAATGAAATATGATCATACATGGCTACACCTTATAGCAAGCTACTTCTAATTGATTGTTTATTAGAGTAATTTTAATTATTAATAAATATCAACATTTGTGTTTAATTAAAAAAACAATATTTTATGAAAATAATATTATACCAGCATATTGAAAATTATTGTTTCTAGGTAATGTGAAAGTAATCACTTTACTACTCAACTCTTGTGATATTCTCTTTCTTTATATTCCCTTAGGGTGGACGGTACGGTTTGAATGATATTTCTGCCCAAAAGTCATTATAAAATTATATTTGTTAATGGCATATGATCATATAAGGTCACACCTTATAGGAAACTACTAGTAATTGATTATTTATTATAGTAATTTTGATTATTAATAAATATCAACACTTGTATTCAATTAGAAAAACAATATGTTATGAAAATAATACTTTACCAATATATTGAGAATTATTGTTTCTAAGAAAAAATAATAAAGAGAACATAAACTATAAATATAATATGGTATGATTGTTAATATTTTGTACAGCATTTTGGGTATTTAGAGTAACCATTTAGTTACATTACAACAAGCTAGTTAGAACTTGAGTGAAGATCACATAAAGATCCTTTGACTTTCTCTCTCAAAACCGTAAGGTGTACGAAAGAAATGGGATTGCTTGTGGCCTTGCGTTTTAAGCTCCATATTTGTCATAAAAGGACACGATACTTTCATTTAATGTTAGACTTGACTTTGAACATAATTGCATGTATGTAAAGAGTACCTAACTAAAAGAAAACTTTGTTCTTTGCTTGCACATTCTCTTCATAAGGTCTTCCATATTGGGTTTTTATTCACACATATTATGTGTGGGTAGAAACCTCTTATGTGTTGGTAGTTGGTTTTACCAACATATAAATTAAGTGTCACTATGTGTTGGATCATGTATGTAGATATAGTCATTACCTGCACATCGGTTATGTTTAGATATAGAGCAATTTGTACCTACACATGTATGTGGCTAAAACTAGCATATATGTGTGGGCAGAAGTATTAATATTTGTGTTGGTTGATGATGATAGGGCGGCTGGCGTGGAGAGTGACATGGACTAATATGGAAGACATGTCATGTTACATACCATGTCCCTATATAGTTTTGGTGACACATTTCAAAATATGTGTGGATAGAAGTAATTTTTATGTGTAGGTGAAATTGGTAGATGAGTTCGCAAAACATACTTATGTGTGGGCAATAACAATGATATATAGAAGTAATAATGTTCATATATGTACAAACACGTACAAAATTATCAATGAAAATAGGACATATGTAGGGAAATACCATTTCTAATTGAAAATGTTATAACATAAAATTTCAAACTACAAATAAAGTTGTTCACATATCATCTCAATTTTATGGGGGCCAAGTACATTGAAAATAGGGAAATCATAATACACTTTGTAATCATATGCTATCAGCAACTTTGGTGGCATGTTGTCTCATCTTCTCAAATCTCCAAACCTCATCCTCTTAAATCTTCTTGTAGATCTCTATCATTACATAATTGAAAATCATCCAGCATGTTTACATACATGCATCCCATCAGTTAGATCTACAATAAGAAAAGGATAGGGAATCAATAAGTCTTTTAAAACCAATTCACCATTTGTTCAAGAAAAAGTTTAATATTAATCCTTAGCTTAGTACCATTATGCGTCAATTCCTCCCCCGTTCAATTCAATAACTAAGAAAGTGTGTAAATAAATCAATATGGTTCAAAAGAAAAGAAAATTTAAAAACTATTCCAAGGATGTGCCTGGAAGAGATATCTAATGGCCAGGTTTGTATTTGTTTGGTTTTGATAAGCAATAAGAAAGAAAGCGTGTATAATTAAGGCAATACATAGTGTTTTCACCTCTCATTTCAAAAAGTGAAACTGTTACCAATAGGGGGTAGAGTTGACAAGACAAAACGTATGTGCCTACACTTGAAGTATATATAACTATAACCAAAATCCTCTTTGGCTAGAACATGCTTGACCTAGCCACAAAGAAAAATTATGTCAATGGCATACATTTAAGCCATTTGCAAATCAAATACAAGTTCACAACATTACATACAACATTTTTCCGAAACAAAATATGGAGAACTTTTAGAATTGAATACAATCTGGTCAGTATGTCAGTAGACGACTATGCATCTCTGGTTATTTTTCACACGACATAACCTAACATGCATATCCAACAACTTGTCTACATAAGGATGAATAATCTTAATTTCATATGGTGTTGTTTGAAATATAAGGGTACAAACCTCTCCAAAAAGCACCAAGACCGATTAGTGTAGAAAGTTTGAAATCCCCGATTACTATTGTATGCCTTTGCAGTCTCATGCATTTGTCTCTTTCTTCTCAAAATATTGTAGCATCTGCTCCACTTCCTTGCTGGATACTTTTGCTCTGCCTGTTTTCTCTATAAAACTCGTGTTCTAAAAACCAGTAAAAACCATTATTCATGATCATAAATAACACTTCTAGTAGAAATTAGGAATACCTTTCTTTATAATGTTGAAATCCTTGTAGATAACTATTGTACTAATTCTCAAATAACTTCTTGACTGTGATAGCCTTCCGCCTGATTATCGGAGATGAAATAGAGTTATCAGGTACAAAATTAAACCCATAATCAGGCCTCAGAACGGGTTCGATCTTTTACGGATCTTGCATCACGACTGAGTTGATTTCGAGATGCATAATGAAAATAAATGGTAAATGATTATAAAGAATGAAATGCGAGTTATAAAAGCAAACATAGATAGATGCAGTTAAAATTGAAAATCGAATGTTGAAGATATTGAGGACAACGACTTTTTGGGGAAGATGGAGATCGTGGATCATGGGGGACGGGTATTTGAGATAAGACGAATTTCTCAACCTAATTTGGATGGATAGGATTTATTCTATGTTTCGATTAATTGCCGGTTGAATGAGTCAATAAGATTTTTACTTACTTTCTATTTTTGGTTGAGATAGTGTTTTTAATTTTCATGTCATAATGATAGATGCAATCTCTATCTCTATTTTTAATAAAAAAAAAAAAAACTCTCTAAACCATTACATGAAGACCTGTCAATGGAGGGGGTTTTGACCGCGATTCGCTCCAAACCCTTAACAATTTTACGGGTTTGGATTTTAATTTTCGATTCGTTTACCCGTTTACAAACTCATACCCTTTTATTAAATGGGTTGGGTATGGATCATTGTCGATTCGCTCCATATACAACCCGTCCCACTTCATTATATATATAACACTAAAGTATGCAACTCTATGTCTAAGTAAAATATAACTAGCTGGGGTACCCCGCTCCGCGGGGTTCGATTACGACCAGAGTTTTAGTCAATGACTGCCCAGTGAAGACCATTTATTAAATGTTGTGTTTCTGCAACATGAACACCAAGTTTTCCTCAATATAAAGTATAAACTGAATTCATGGAATGATCTATCTGATTTACTAACTATAAAAGATGAGAATTAAAAGTATATAATTAGAATTTTTAAGCATAAGTGCTTTGTAGTGAAGGTCAACTTTGGAAATTTTGAGGGCATGGTTATTAATTTCAAAATCAACCCCCAACATATGTTCGGGTGTTTGTGTAAAAAATGGACAAAAAAGACAGATTTGAGTTGTTTCCATCCTTATGAGGTTTTAAATGATCTAAAAGCATTAATGATCCATCTTCTCCAACGAAATGAATAACACTTTGTGTCGGTTGTAAATGCAGCAGTAAACCCAAATAGTTCCTGAAAATTAAAGTAAACTCTATTTTCAACAGCTATATGTAAACTCTAAATACCCTAAGATTCATTGAACAACATCATGATGCACATAATTTAAAAAAAAAAACAAAAAAATGCACAAATCCATTTCCTTTTCATTTCCAACTCTTGTAATCACATATAACCTTAACTACAATGAAATTGATCATGGAGGTTAGGCTTTTTATGAGAAGTTCAACACCGGTTCATAAACGCCCTCCTTTAAGAATATTCAACTTATCAAACACGAAGTCGACAAATTCTTATAGAATTGAATTCCAAAACACACAATGGAATGGAATCTGAAATTCCAATTCCATCGGAATCTAAAAAGCTATTTTCCACAATAAATGGTTCAGCCATTAAGGTAACAACTTTTGCAAACTTAAAACCTTAACATAACGCCATCTATCTCTCGAATAAATTTTTTTTTCACAAAATGGCTTTTTCGGTGCATATTTTGCGAAAATGATGTAATTTATAAAAAATATGAATTTTTTTTTATTGATTTTTTAAAGCGTAAATGATTCGGAGAGAGAAACATAAACAACTTCAACTGACATCAAGTCTTAGGACCCGCTTATCTTAGTTGAATGTGTTGCAATGTATAAGATAAACAATTAACATAAACATCAATAAATTAGGCAATCAATGTAATTATGTAAAACATTAATCCGTATTTACCTTTGTTCCATAGTAAGCATATATCTCATCAATTTGTTAAATTCTAGGGTCCCGTAACTTTAGTTGCCAATGTTTCAGAAGTTGTTTTCTGTTTCATTCATCCATGAAAGAAAATCAATAAAAAACAATTAGCAAATAATCAGTTTTTGGAATCAGTAAACAATGTGAAAGAGTAAATATTAATTTGCCATTGCATATTTCATGTGATTGTACCAATGAAAATGTTCATATCAACTGAATAGTGAACCGTCTGCTTCTTTGATAAAAGCCTCAACTTCATCCCATTCCAATTGTAACTCCACACGTGCAACAATACTACATTAAGAAGGAAAAAATAATTCAGGAATATAGAGATCGAAGCAGGATTATATTCTGTTTGTTTTCATCCGTATGCTGCGACTCCAAGATGGAACCAATTGGTTGAACAGTTTCAGATTTTCCAACTGCAAGAAGTCCAGTTATCATTAAAATGAATGAGAAACACTAATATATACCTAATTTTTAAATAATTTTATATTTTGAAATTAAATATTATTTTAGTAAATGTTCTATTAAATTAAATAATAAATTAATAAAAGTTTTCTGTTTTGGATGGGATGCAATTGTAGGCAATAGAATTTCCCAATCAAGATCGAGTGTGTGAATCTAGATGAATTTCCTAATCATATTGAGCTTCCGAAAATGTGAAAACTTTAAGTTTTAAATTTGACATGATAAGCCTCATAATGAAGGCCCCTGTCATAGACAAATGATGTTTTTTTTTTACATTTTTTTACAAAAAAAAAAAAAAGAGAGAGAGAGAAAGATGGAATATAATTAATACTTACATTAAAAAATCTTTGCCAAATGTCCTGTCTTGAAGATCTACAAAGTGAAGCTTTCGGTTTATTGCATGTAGTAACAATAAAACATAATTTCCATATAAAGAAGACGATGAGTCGATGACTTTTGAAGAATGTCAACTATGTCTATCTCTGAGTGATCAATTTGGAGATAGATATTGTAAAGCTGATGGAAGTCGATGGTTTTTAAGATTAAGCAATGTATCAAAAATATTAACCTTGTGAAGAAACCCTTACAAATATCTTATAATTTCTGCAAGGTGGGTACCTGCAAAGAGTAATAACAATAACCAATTAGGACTATAAATGGATAACATTTTTCAACAACCATATGGATGATATACACCGACTGTAGGGGACAATTTGTTTTTCAGTATTTTGTTGTAAACAATTATAAACCAAAAATGGATTTTTATTTATTTATTTATTTTTTTTGGAAATTAGATAATACTTCTTCACCTTCCCCTACCCCTACCTCCACGACCCATCTCCCTTGTAGTTGGTGAACCCTCTGCATAACAAAAATTAAATTTCAACATAAAATGACAAATGCAAGAAATAAAAATATACTTTTATTTATTTGTCCATTATAGTATCCTACTTTGATATTTCTTATTAGAAATTTTCATCATTGTTTATTCGAATAGATCTCTGAGAAGTGAAATGATATATCCTCCTTCATGGTCGTCTTGAACCTCCATTAACTAATTTTGTTCAATTTTAAATCCAATGATCCGTAAGTTCACTTGGATTCTGTAACCTTTCAGCTTCCCGTCTTCTAACGAATCTCCCAGCAACTATAAATTATGCAAAAATTAAAACTTTTAGTTTCATACATACAATGGTAAATCGTTAACAATCAACATCACACGTAAAAACAAATCAAGTGCAAGAACGAGCACTTACATCCTTTAATTTCACACACTAACCTATCATGCTTCTGAAGGTGTCAGCATTAGGGTGTATATTATGATCATTTATCATTTTATTGATGCAATGAACCTGGCATACAACAGCAAAATGCAAGAATTATTTCCTAGTGGTTTCCTTTAAAAAAAAACAAAGACTATGAAACAAAATAAAAATGTAATATAAATGTACCAAATTGTAATCATGGCTTGTATAGGATGCTGATAATAGAAAATCAAATGTATCTATTCTCACAGCTAACTCTTCTTCAAACATAGATTCAACTAAATCAATAGCTAATTATACCTGAACATAATAAATTATCAGCAATGTTTATAGTGAGATTAAAAGCACAAAAGAAATTCAGATCTTTCCTACCTTCAGTGAGTCGCAACATGTTTTAATAAGCTTATCATAAGGTGCAGACGGAGATGCAAGCTTTAATTCAGCCTGCAAAAATTTGAACCTTTTTACATTGTCTTCAATCTTGAAACCATGTAACCAAGGGAGTTAGTTTACAATCGAACACTATATATTTAATTATTTATATTTACAACATATTTTTGACAAAAATTGATCAATATATTCAGTATCATCATTGCATAACCTAAAATCAAATCTGACAGATCGTCTTTACCTTGTCCTGTATTCATGGTTCACCGTCTTGTTCTCCACATCCGTTTATGACCGTATGACCAAACTCTATCTTTCTCACAATAAAATGGCAAACTTTTTACAGAGATTCAACAAAAAATTTGACCCATTAAACAATCAGACAAATGGAACCCTAAAATCCAATGGAAATAGGAGTAATAAGATTACCATCAGGATTTGAACATGGTTACAACAGGCATAGGCATACGGATTCCCTGCCCTCCATCTCTATATCTGACAGCGACCAGCGCTACTTAGCTGCTTCCAAAACAACCCATCCAATCAACAACCGCGGATAATGTAGAAAAAAGCAAGCGTGAAAGCCAGATCAAAGGCGTTGATAGTGGAGGGTAGAACCAATGACGTGGCGGTGCTGACGATCGTGGTGATCGGAAGGATTGACTTCAGCTTGTAACATCAGGAGGCGGTGGAGCAGAAAAGGGAGGACACATAGAGGCAGTGGAAGCGTGAAGAAGAATGGTCTGAGGCCCTGGAAGCCGATGGGGTAAGATCGATAAGATGAGTGTGGATGTGGTCGGGGTCGAAGTAGACCTGCACAAAATTAGGGCTCGCCGACCTCTGTAGTGGTGGAGGCAGACTAGCGATTATTATTGAAGCCATTGTCATGGTCGGTGGAAAGAATTGTAATTATTTTTCATCGTAGAAAATATGATATAAAGTAGTGTCTAGGACATGAAATAAAGTGTCTAACCAAATTATTGCAACTCAATTATTGAAGCCCTCAATAGTCTAGGGGTTATATTGTAAATATGTATGTCGTATTGCAATCAAACGATTGCAACTCAATTATGTAACCGGCTCTCTTGAGCCTATAAATAGGGCATTTGCCCGTATGAAATAAACAAGTTAAGTTTGAGTGTTTAAGACTTGAGTTGATCTTAAAGTTCTTCCTCTGTTGAAATAGTCGTTCTATTTCTGAATAGCAGAGTCCTATCCAAACATACCCAAAATTATTCATATAATCATTCATATAATTTAAACAATCCATCGTCAATCCATCCTGACGCATCATTCAGGTATAATCTTATCCTAATCTTTTTATTAATTCCGTCATGTCGTTAATTTTGGTATCAGAGCTAAGTATCGTTCTTATTATGATTATGAATGATAAATCTTTCGTTCATATGAATATATGTTCATCATGCATCATCATAAATATTATTATAAATATTTATCGTTATGAATTATCATCATAAAATTCAATGTTTAAAACAATTATTACTATGTACCTGCAATTTAGAAACATATTTCGTAAAAAAGTTTTTAATTCTCAGTATGAAAACTTTGACATCATAACCACCATTATAAATATCATAAATAACAAACTCCACCATCCTATTAAAATCTATGATTTTTAGTCGTACCATTGAAAGAAAAGCTAAATTATCATTTTAAAAATTATAATCATTAGTTTTTCAAGTTTAAATATTATTAAACAAAAAATTAAAGTTTTTTCGTAAAACATTGAAACAATCTAAAAAATTTCTTTTAAATTTAAAAATAGATTCTAACATATCAATAATTAATTGTATATCCAATATTGAAGCAATACATATAATAAATAACTAGGTGTGAGACCCGTGTACTACACGGGTTTATTAAAAAAAAATATAATTTCAAGTTGTAAATATTAAGCAAATTTTAATGTAATACTTATAAATGACTACAGATACTATGATGAATAAGAACATAATTGAATCCAAAGTAATAAAAAACTATTGACATATAGTAAATAATTGTTAGGAATCAAAAAAAATTATATACTTCTTTAAACATAAATTAGATGTCTTATTACTAAGGTTACAGTTATACATTTGTATTAAAAGTAGTTATTTCAGCAAGAGCAAAACAATCACATTTGTTGAGAAAAACTATCGAAACCCAATGTATGTTTTGTTTAAGGGTAAATTTGGCTAGAAAATACGAAATAGAATGTTGTAGTTGGATGACTTTTAAAGTTAGATGTTATTAAAAGGACTTTATATTTAAAGAAAAAAAAAGCAACACCACTTTCTTATATCCCTGTACATTGATAATAAATATGAAATGACAGTTTGGAAAAAAGAATTATAAAATTTGACTATGTGGTAGTGTGTAATTGGATTTTGAAAAAAAAATATGCAGAAAATCAGATTTAACAAAAGGAAACCATTATTGATAATTTTAAAATGTAATAACTAATTAAAAATTTGCAACAAAAAAAATACAAATTTACAAACATAGAAGTTTTACCTATAAGCTTATAATGATTATTTAAAACTAATATATATATATATATATATATATATATATATATATATATATATAGTGTTATGAATATATATGATCTACGTTATTTATGTGCACATATCTGATAAAATCATGATTATGTACAATAAAATATAAGTTTAAATAGAATACGATTAAAATAAAGAATAAGTATATATTATACAAAAATAGAAAAAGAGATAATCACTGTAAGTGAATAAGATGCTAGTGGGTTGAAATATTTGTTTATTTATCACAATTATAACTGAACAATCATTTATTTTTAATTACAACTATTTGATATAATGTAAATTATAATGTAAAGTGGAGTTTTAAAATTTTGGGATGAGAGGGTGGAGGGTTCTAATATTTAAAATTTAATATGTTGATTGAGATCAAGGAAATGAGGGTGATTTCTTATTTTTAAACTGTCATGTAAGAAAAACTTACAAGCTTTGAGTTATTTATGTTAAGTTTTATTAATTTTTTTTCCATAAAATAAACATTTGATTTTTTTTTTGTTTTTTATTAAAAAGTGCCACTAATTAGGTGTGCAAAAGGGATTGACTTGAATGTTTTAGCTTGAAATTATGGTGCAGGACCTCTTAAATTATTAAGGGATAAGACATTAGAAAAGGAAGGGCATATTCATCATTTTAAACCAAAAACAAAGGGTATTTCCATCAAAAGATTAAAATTTTAAAAACATGTTCACCAATTCCTCCAATTACTTTTCCCTTAAACAGAGCAATCAAATACATTGCTATTAATTGTAAGAAAATGAAAGTGTATTGCAATTATAGGTAAGGAGTTGTTATTACATGTAAAAACTAAAGTATATTCCCTATATGGGTAAAAATAGTCAAACCCATTGCTAGTTCCTGCAATTTCTATCGTGTAATAGACATTCACATTATCCAACAAAGCAGCTCGATATTGCATGACAACTAAAGTATCAGATAGTAAGCAATTAAAAAGTATTCTCCGCCTATCTCACCTGTAGCTCACATGCTCCCGTATGTCATATATGCATAACATACATCATTGAGAATTCCTACATGGATGCAACAATGAAGCTTTATTGAAATACCTTTTTAGAAATATTTAACAAAAAAATCATAGATACACACACAGGCTTACATTTTCATCATGAGAATTCCTCTTTGGATGAAATAGGAAAGTGGATTAAAGCTTCACATATGTGAAATGGTAGATGTCATATCATGATTCATAAAAACTAAAAAAATATATCAATTACATACGAAACACCAATAACGAAAAAAGATGAAGGTGTTGCAGGAAAAGAAGAAGACGGTGCAACATGTAACGAAAAATAACCCCTAGTGAGAAACATGCGCTGATCGTAAGGGGGGGACTTTTGTATATAATATAATCACTTGAACTATAATTCATGTATTTAAGCTACCTGAAGTAAACTTTTTTATTTAAATGTAATAATGCCATATATATCTCATCTCTTTCTCCATTAAAACTTTATTTAGTGGTACCTGCAGGAAAATAACATGTGCAACCACTAAAAGACCCAACCTAAAACGTGATTCAATGCAATATTAGAATCCTCTAAAAAGAGTATCGTGTAAATCCAAATCAAGCAACATTAATAATAAGAAACTAAAGATAAACACATAGTTAAAGTAGTTGGGTTTTTGGTGACAGGTTTTTTATGAAAATCAATCTAAATAATAAATAAGACAAATAAAACAAATACTTTTTAATGAAGTTTTTCTTGAGATGTTAAACATCAGTGCACAAACAATCACCCATGATCACAAGCCCTTGAACAAATCAGATTGCACAATTCACTTAATTTGGGGATCAATTTTTAGTTTGTACCGGAAACGGAGAAGAAGAGCATAAATCAGATTTACCTTATTGTGACAACTAAACCGTTAGCCTCCTGAAGACCTGAATTTTCCCAACCAATTATTGTGAGATTCTAATTATCTTTCAAAAAAAAAGTTTTCATATGTTGGGTTTTCTTATGAGTTGGAATTTCAAGGAATCAGAATCTGTCAAATGATATGGAATTTCAAGGATCTGAATGGAACTTAATCCCAATTCAGGCCAACCTCTTTTTCCCTTACCAGACATTTGTTTCTCTCATTGATTTACATTAACCAGGAATGAAGGAATTCGGTTTTCTACCAACTGCAGCAAGACAGAGTGACAAACAAAAACATTAAAATATTTTTTCTCAAATCTAATAAAAATGTATTAATGTTACCTTTGAGAAAAGAGATTAAAAAGAAACTGCATATTGTGATCTAACAGGAGGATTGTAAACAATAAATTTCCACCAAATATAGCTAATTTATTATTCACGTATATATAGGTAGTACATAGGTTTATAGATAAGTTCAACAACTAAAACAGATAAGCCTTTATATTTAAACTAAGTTGATTAAAGTTATCTGCTAATACCCCCCCCCCCCCCCCGGTCAAGCTCATGGATGGTGGTCAAACTCTTAGCTTGGATCGAAACTGCTCAAAGAGAGGTCTAGGAAGACTTTTAGTGAATATATCAGCTAGCTGCAAGTGTGTAGGAACGTGTTCTGTTCAGAGTTTGCCACCAAGGATCTTGGACGTCTCAATTACTTTCTTGGTCCTGAAGTAACATACACTGACACTGGTCTCTTTCTTACACAATACTTACTCGTGTTGGATTGATTGATTCCAAACCTACCACCACACCCTTGTCGCCCACTGATTACCTCCTCAAAACAGGTGACTTATTATGTGATTATGCCATTAGAGGATACAAACAACAACCACAACAATAATCAACTTATACAAGTGAAATCTGTATTCATAAAGAGAAAATGAAATTTTTATGAAGGTTATGTATGTGGGAGGGGAGACAGGAATCAGAAAAGCATCCTGTGTATGACTACTGAACAACTATACAACTATATAATTATACATTGACAAACTAATACGCACACCACAGTTACACATAAAAGATAATCAGAAAAGCATCAATTTGTTTATAACTTGATTTTAGTATACGATTATGCAGGAAAAAAAATCAAAATGTAGGATAAGAAGAACAATTATTTCAGTAATGGAAAAAACATAGAAAACCTTTTTGGCATTACATCGAGCATGTGGTGAACATATATCAAATGGTGTTATTAGACTGTCTTTTACAGAAAGAATAAATGAAATTGATAAGGTATACTTAAAAATACATTGAGATGCTAACCTGATGTCCTCCTTAGTCTTCTTGATGCCAATTTTGCCTTTATTCAACTTTCCACGGTGTATAAAATGTTGTGGGAATAACATTATAAGAACCAAGATATAAGGAAAGGAAAATCTTTGATTGAACTGAAATTGAAGTTTAATATGGAAACTAATTGAATGTAATTT